CGAGGGTGACTGCCCGGGTTCAGGCTGGGAATGGTCTGCTCAAAAGGAGGAGGAATCAGTGTCGAGTGTGAAAGCGTCGAGGTCTTGATTGATGAACTTTGAAATGTATCAGCGACAGGGGGAAAAGATGTCAGGCACTCAGCGAGCGACGGCTGGCTATTGATAAAACCAATCTCTCGCTCAAATTCGTAATTCATGGCCTTCTCCTTGGAGCCCCCTCGGAGAAAAAGTTCCTCTTGTGGAGGGGCTTTGGGGGGGCAAGGCCCAGGAAAAAGGCAAGCGCAGAGGAAAAAAAAAATCTATCATAGACGATCGCTGCTGGGGTGTTTTTTTTCTAATTCACTGATTACAGCCGTATGGGGACCGCGCTACTATTAAACTATTGAATTCATGGAGACAAGGTTGAAATTGGACCGAATTGGCTGTCACATGATTGCTTCTGGACAATGACAATTTGGGGACCGAATTGGCTGTCACATGATTGCTTCTGCCCAATGACAATTTCTGCTTTAATCAAAAGAAGCCACTGTCTGTTTGATTGATCCAAAAAAGTCGGGAAGGAACGCCTCATTGGGGGCCAGAGAGGCTTTATTTACACTTTTTTCGGGGCAAAAACACATATATGTGGATGTGGGTGGAGATGCCCGAGAGTGCGTGGGGGCGAGGGTGCCTGCCCACCTCCTGATCAGGAAGGATCTGGTGTGTGCGCCTGGGAGTGTGTGAGTGTGCGCGAGTGTGAGCTTGCCGGTCCCGCCGGCGGCTGCCCTCTGCCTCCCCCGCACACTCCGCGCATTGTTTGGGACTGTCGGGAAGACGCCTCGCACCTCACAAATCATTTAAGCACCTCAGTCTGACGCCTGCAGTCATTAACAAAGTAATCCATTAATCTTCAAAGTTTTGACACCCGAGGGCCCCCGCATCCCAGCCACATAAGTTCTGCTAAGGCTCGAGGAAGGAGCAGAGGGAGAGAGGAGATGAGAAAGGAAGAAGAAAGAGAGAGGGAGGGAGAGACAGATGGAGAGACAGGGAGAGAGAGAAGATAGGAGAGAGGAGAGAGAGCGAGAAGATAGAAAAGAGAAGGAAGAGGAGAAAGATTTGGGAGTTCCCCCTTTTCATTTTCCTTTTTCTCCCACACTTTTCCTAAAATCAGTTTCTGGATTTCAGAACTGATCTCTTTTTCCTTTCTCTCTCTCTCTCTCTCTCTCTCTCGCTCTCTCTCTCTCTCTCTCTCTCTCTCTCTCTCTCTCGCTCTCGCTCTCGCTCTCGCTCTCTCTCTCGCTCGCTCGCTCTCTTGCTCTCTCGCGCGCTCTCTCTCCTCTCTCTCTCTCGCTCTCTCTCTCTCTCTCTCTTCTGACTGACTCTCCTTCCTCCCCTCAGGCCCTCGACCCCCTCCTAATGTCCAGCCTGGAATCCGCGCCCCCGGCCCATTGTTAGCCGGCTTTTCCACTGCAGCTTTGCATCTGGCTCCTGCGGGAAACGGAAAACGGGAGGCGGCTTTCGAAGCTTCCCGACCTTCCTGCGCCATCAACTTCTCAAAAGTGGCTCGAGAAAGATAGATGCATGTGCCAAGCGAGACAACAAACCCAGGTCCATGTGTCCAAATCCCCGTAGCCAGGGCGGCGGCCAGCCAAAGAAATGCCGCCCTGAGCAGGCGCGTGCGGTTCCTGGCATTCTGGGTTTCATACCCGTAGGGCTCGGGTGCGGTGAGTATTTCCGATTTCCAGGAAGTCTGTTGGAAGTTACCAGCTGGGAGGGAGAAGATGCTTCTCTCTCTCTCTCTCTCTCTCTCTCTCTGGAGAATGCATGTG